AGCATGAAAAGAACAGAAGACAACAACTAAAATATCTAATTTTTATGTGATTAGAGCCCCAGAATGAAAGAGAAGCATATATAGTAGAGGAAAACATATTTAAACAAATCAGTGGCAAACTTCCCAACACGAAAGACAGACAGACATTCATAGATTCAGAGGCTCAGTAAATTCCAAACTGGTAAACTTGAAGAAATCCATGGGAAGACCTCACTGTAAAGTCATCTTAGGCTACATGAAGCATCAGAGAGACTAAAAACTTAAGTGTGATGGGTGAAATAGCAAAGAAAGAGTGAATAGGCAAATAGCTGTTTTTCTGCCAATGTCCAGGGTGTCAAGAATCTGGTTTCAGTGTGACTAGTCAGCTGATCTCACGCAGAAGCATGCATCAGAACTACTTCCAGACACCAAGTCCCATATCACTAGGACCTCATGCCTATAAATAAGGCTTAGGAATCTGTGTATCTAATGAGCTCTCAGGCAATGCTGATGTCACTGGCCTGGGATACAACTAGAGAACCATTCTCTTTTTAAAAATACCTCAGGCTTTGACATTTAAAAGAATCTCAAATTTCAGGTCTCTAACTTGAGGAGGGCATCTAAGGAGTGCTCAGGTCAGTGCAGGGGAGTTCACCAGAGGAGACACTCCTATCTCCCAGCCCACTGTAGGGGACAGATTCTTTGCCTTAGCTGGATACCTTGATTCAGCTCTCAAAGATCTATTTTCTTCCCAGTGACACTAAAGTTCCCTTTTAATTTGTCACTGAGCAACTCACAGCAGCCCTCCAGCAGATGAAAATTTTATCAAAGCCTCCTCAGCTCCACTCTGCAGACAATCACCTGTTCCCTCTTTCGGGGTACTTGAATAAATGCAAATGCATTTTGGCACTCAAGCATATCACATTCAAATGCACCTAAGTGTGAATTCCAAGATGCAGTTTCTGTAGCACTTCTAAAATGAGAGATGAATGTTCAATGGATCTAACAGACCAGCAGGAGGACCAAAGGTGTCCACTGATATGAATGTAAAAATTAATTACATTTAACAGTGACCAGCTTGAAAAACATATAATACAGTAAAAATAATTCAAATAAGAAAGACTAGTTCCTGGAAATTCTAAGACAAGGCTTAAGTATTTCCTGAATTACAGCACACTTAGTTATTATGCCATTTCTTATTAAATATATAGTGGTTGGGGTGTGGAGGACTTAGGCTCTATCAAGAAGAGCTCTGGTCTCTGGATAAGGCATCATGGTCCAATATTTACTTTCTTTCTATGTGCTCATTTTATGGAGCTAACACTGGATCACGAGAGGCAGGGGACCTGAGTTCTGGGTATCCATTAAGAGATGGATATGCTTAGGTCTGAAGATGAAGGCAAAGGTGCCATATGCAGGCACTGACAATATACAAGGAATATTCCATCCCATCTGTGTTTACAATTCCAGCAAATACTCTTCATTTTACCGACAATGCTAATGGATGAAAACCTTGCCTATTATTTAATGTGTGTGTGTGTGTGGGGTATGCTATTTGAAAGAAGGCAGTTCACTGACACAAGTTAAAAATGAAGAAAAGAAAAGAAATAAAAAATACCCTTGCCCCTAATGGTGACAACCTTCTAAATTTAGACAAATCTATTAGTTGGCATTCGCATGTGTTAAGTGATTTAGATAAGGAAGTTGTAATTACTACTTGTGCTTTTTTTAATGGCACAGCCCAGCACATTTCCAAATGAAAGTAATTTACCAATGAAGAGACGGCTGAATACCGAATATCAGCAATAAGCTGGAAACCGGGGATGACAGGGGAGGGTGCTAGGAATAACAGAAGATGAGCCTGGGATGCAGTCAACTGAGGGTAATGTGGTAAGACATCATTATGATATGAGTTGACATCCATCTGTGTTTTCTGTCCTAGACCCTTTTTGTTTTGAAAGCAGGGAACTGTTACAAAATTGTTTCTTCTGTTATGTCTTTCATAAATCCAATCAATAGTTTATAAAGCAGGCCAATTCTGAGGACAAAGGAATGATGGGCCAGGAAGGATGACTGATCAATAACCACTACAGAGACCAGAGTAGGACAACAGGTGTGAGAGATCAAAGTGGCCTGGAGTTCATGATCTGCGGGGCTATGAATAGAACCCATGCCTGGCTTGGAAAGCCAAAAATATTTAACAACATACAAGTCAAGGTTTCAGAGGGTAAAAGCATGAATTATAATGAGGCATAATAAATGGTCTGCTGTAATTTTTTCAATGTTCTGTACTAATCAGCAGCTGTCCAGCTACCCCGAGATCCATCTCCAAGAGGCATGGCTGGCAAAAGTCAATTCAAAACATCTGACTTTGCAAAAATTACCTAAGCTGGACTATGGGGAAGTGCTCTACAGAACTGACTTTCAAACCCTGCTTCATGGGTAAAAGAAAGGTTTATAAGTATAAAATATTGTTTCATTTAATCCTGTTCCCCATTTATTATGTTTTTAACAAAGTCCATTTTTTACACTTGACTATAGGCTTTAAAAATTAAATGCTTATTGAGATACTCTTTGATCCTTGTATACAAATTTTAAGCCTGACTCCTTTCTCTCTGGCAGGGAAGATGATCTGGAGGAGGGATGTGTCAATCCCATTTACTTCATTTTACTTTCACTACATATATTCATTCACAAACCTCCAATTTATCATATCACTTTGTATTTTAAAAACATGGTCGAGTTTTCATTTTAAAAATCTACAAATAGCAAGCAAGCCAAAGTAGATAATTTTAAATCTTAATTTATGAAAGACTGCAGCTGTCTTAGCATGGACAGGATATATGTTAAAGAAAGAAAGTCTAGGGGGAAAAAAGTTGTCATCTTGTTACTCTCGTGCAATGCCTTGATCTCAATGCCATCTAGCATCCCCTGCCCTGATGCTTGTTAGTAGCATTTATACTCTGTGCACAATGCTCTTACACCTTCAAACATGGTAGAAGCAGTTCAGGAGCTCATCATAAGGCTTGAGGAGCTCAAGCCCACTGAATCTGAACATCACCATGGCATGATCATTAAAGAATTATGAGCATCCCACAAGGAAAGATAAGTCCTGCAATTAGCCCTCAATGTCAATTAGTTCTAAGACTCTCTTAGCAAAAGTCACATCTGAGATAGTTTAAAAGATCAAAACTTTACTTCCTAACCTGAAATGCTGCCAAAAAAGCAGAGCTATCTAGTTAGGTAGAAGAACAAGATAAAATAAAATTACTTCATGTGAGAGATTTATCAACAAGTTTCAGAAGAGAATAAGGGACATAATTACAGCTATCTGAGGAATTTCTGGAATTCAGTAAACTAGTGATTCTTCTTTTCTGGGCAGCATAGGAGTGAAGAATCACCCAAATTTAATTTTAAGTTCTATGCAGAGCGCACACCAGATATATATGCTCTTTAAGAAACTGGACAGTTCTAGGGGTGAGTCTAGATGTAGTGTCTCAAAAAGTAAGCAAGAGCTCAGAAAACAATGAGGTCAAGCCAAAAAACACAGAAGCCACCTTGAAGAAACTCACCTGACCAAATCTGGGACAATTTGAACATTCACAATAAATAATGGCAAAACAGAGCAAATACTAAGTACAATACTATGTGACCCTTCTAATTTAAATACACGAATAAAGAAATAGCAATAAGAGAAAGCTTTTCCTTACACTAAAAATTCATTTGGCAAATGCAGAAGAAATGATAAGCAAATAGCCTTTTTCAACCAACAGAATAATAATCAACATGTGACAAAGGAAAGAATACCGATAATCAAAATGCCTTCCCCAAGCATTATCCAAAACCAAAGCTAGAGGAAGTAACTTGACAGTGAAAAGGCCTGGCCAGTTCCACCTTTACCAAGGAACCACCAGTAGTGGGCAGATGACAATCTGGGGTGGGAAAGGAGAAAAATGCAACACTGTCAGAAATGCATCACATTGGAAGTGTAAGCCACTCAGTGGTATAGTCCATGCCTAGTCTGTACAAACATGCACAGTATTAATCTAATTATGAAAAATACCAGAGAAATCCTACATTTAAGTAGAGGGTGATCCTACAATGCATCTGACACACTCTTCAATGTCATGAAGTGCATGAAAGACCAAGGACCTGCTCTAGACTGAAGAAACTGGAGATGGGGCCAACAATACCAAAGCCAAGGTTGGATCCATGAGAAGGAGATGGCCAAACAAGATGAGGTCTGAGGACCACCATTAATTTTCTAGTTGTATGGCTGTACTGTAGATGTACCGAGAATCTCACTGATGGAGGAAATACACAGCAGTGTACTCACAGACTGGACACTGTCATAATCAGAACTCCAATAGTCCCCTAGAGGACATGTGATCACCAGTGGGAACCTTTAAGAGGTGTTGTTGTCTCTGGGAAGGTCCTCAGATAGTTACAGTGTGGCTCCCTTTTCTCTTTTGTTTTCCGGTCATGAGGTAAATGGTTTAATTCACCACAGGCTCAAAGCCTGGAGCCGCCTCCTCTTTTCATAATCTTATCAATTTAGCTCCAGAGGGGGAAAAAGTAGACTAGTAAAGATGTAATAGTTACTTTCACATGGCTCTGTGATTTAAAAAGCTCTGCACTACTTTTACAAACCCCCCTTTTTTTTAAAGAATAATGAAGTTGTGTCAAACAGAAAGACATGATATCCATCCTGTGTGTATAGTCGTAACTACTCACAAGAAGGACGTAAACATTGGAAGTAAAGGTATAAGGAAATCACTGCATTTACTTGTAAGAGGTACTTCTTGACTTTAAACATCCTAATAGCTAATTCTCATAATAATTGTAAATATTCATAAACGTCATGCTTAATTCAAAAAGACAGTGGGCACAAAGATAGAAAACACAAGGAGGAAAGCAGTCTTAGCCCTTTGTGTTCCATAATCAATAGCATGCATATGCTCCCCGATGCCAGACTGCTTTCTCAACATATACAGAGATCTCTAAAAAACAAAACCAGTTACCTTGATTTAGCTGTGTAGCATCCACGATCTGAACACCATTCACGGAGCATTGGGACCCACTCAGGGGTATCAGAGTCACTGTTCCTCCGACATTATCAAAGACACAGTGCTCACTCTCCAAGTCAAGACCATGAAGGACTAGGAGAGAAAAACAAAGGAGAAAGTTGGTCCCTACTTTGGTATCTGCAATGATGATTCCTGGCTATTTATCTCATTTTCATTTTGAATGCCTTTTCTTTTCCGCAAAAGTTCTGTGGACAGTTATGTTCAGTGAGTCTGCAATGTCAAGTGGCAGAGACAGAGGCATCCACTGACGGTCACCTCAAAAGGTCTGACTATCCCCTGTAACAGTGAGCTCTGCCACAGCGGCTCACTCTTCCTAATAGGGAGACACAATTGAGTAGCTTGTTTAACTGAGAATCACTGCTCAACACGGACAAACTTCCGACAGCCACCGCGAGACAAGAACGTAACCATGAGGGTCGACGACCCATGAGCTCCTTTGCATTTACAGATAATGCCTCCCAGACACACAAAGCAGAGGCATGGCATGGCATGGCATGGCACAGCATGGACACAGGAGGTCCTGGAGCTTCGAGAAGCTTCTCAGAGGTGTCAATGCCACAGTCTGTGCTGATTCTGAGAACAGCTAGGTACTGATGGCTATCCGATTATCTATGAACATCCTGGCAATGGCAATGTGAACACTTCTGTTTCTCAGGAGTAGCTCCCACTTTCTCTGCAGAACTGTACCACTGAATGTCTTTCGCCAGAGAACAGTCTTTACCAACTGTCATCATTTACAGTTACTCCCAAGACCAAATGCATAATTCAAACAAGGGGTTTGATGTAAAAATAAACTAAAAAATACTTGAGTCTGGGAGCTTCTGGAATGGTTTTTTATCTCTGCCCATCTCTAGTACATAATAAGTGCATAGATAAACATCCAACAAGTGGCTCATTAACATATACTTGATAGAAACGCAGTTCCTCACCAGCAACTCTAAATGTATATTGAAATGGTATAATTCTTCCCCCAGTCACCATTCTGCCCCTCTACACAGGTATACTGATTACCACATTCTCTACCACAGACTGCTCAGAACAATGAGCGGGCTGTCATCTTCTCAGGCTGAGTTGCTGACTGGCTATATATCTTCTGAAGACCACAGGACATCCAGAAAGCCATGCTTTCTGACATGGTCCTGGTCTCATATTTTGCCTTCGTTTTTGTGTAAAGAAATGTCTATATCCTGAATTTTAAAAGGCCTAGGATCCTTTATCCATGTTCCTATCAATCACTGTGACAAGTACGGAGTGACAGGTGTATTGTGATTTAAATAACTATACTAGCAGGATAGAGAACAAATGTGGAGTGTCAGAAAGAAGTCATTCTTCTATTTTGTTCACTGAATTAACTGTGCTTGTTATTTAATTGGGTTGTGGTCAAAATTGTAGTTATACATATACCAAGCAGTATACTTCAACATTTTCTCTTATTTAATTACCTCAATGTCAATTAAGAAAAAGAAGACTGTTTATTAAAAATTTTTTATAGTCACTGAGAGATTATTGATAGAGTCTCACCAATATCTTGCTCTGTTGAAGCATCTTCTCTGCCAACGTAAGTCTGACCTTCCTGAGAAGAAAATTCAGTATTAGTGAGTGCAGAAGGACAGCCTGCTTCTCCACTTCTCATTCCATTATGATGCATTGCACCCGACAGGCATCAGAATAAGCAGGGTCAGTGACATGCAATGGCCTCAGTGGTCTGTGTACTGAACACCGAAGTGACACCCTACATTGTCTGCTAAGTACCAGCACCACTGCTGAGGCAAACTGTTCAAAGAGGCCAAGCTCTTGCAGTCTGCTCAGGTCATCAATTTCAAAGATGCTTCAGATCCTTTCTACAGAGCCCCTCCTTCAGTGGACAAGGAATTCTTTGTGTCCAAAGATGCATGATATGAGAGGCCACAAAACTCGAGACAAAACAACCTCAATTTGAGTCATAGATCAGAAAGAATGCTTTAAAATCAAGGTCACAGAGGTAATCCTTGAGAACTGACAAGAAACTTTGCTCTCTAGAACTGTTCAGAACCAAGACTGACCATCTAAGACAAAGGTACCATTTTCTAACTACCAGGAAAAACCAACAACTGTGCACATAACAAATCCCAGTTATGGGTCCTTCTTCTTTCCTCAGCTTTTCTGCCGTCCCCTTCTCCCTCATCTCCCTTTTACTGATTCTGCAGAAGAGAAGCCGAAAGGGATGACTCATCATTTAACTTCAGAACTCTATAAACATAGTAACTCAAATACCACTGAATCCCAATGAACTGTAGAAAATCCCCAAAGGCTCAAGGATTTGTTGTATATTCTTTAATTTAATAGTTGTATTCATGGCTGTAAAGTATTATAATAAACCTTGTTGGAGTCTGAGGGGAAATCTGGAAACAAAATTAGAATGTTCCACTTAAGCAGTTTCTACCTTCAAGTGATACAAGATGATCCCAGTACTCAGAAGGTCGTCATCAATGCCAATCAAGTGAGGCAGCTCAGAGTCCAGAACCACACCAATCCCCTCTTTCCTGAGGGCCAGAGTTTGTTCCTGAAATTGGGAAGAGAGAGAAGAAAAAGGTTACTTTGGGGAAAGACAACTTCACATTAGGTGTTCTTTAGATATTTGAAATAAGTCATATTTTATCTCTTATAATAAAGAAACAGAAAGAAAAATGGACTTTAAATTTCATGTGGGAAACCTGGCAGGCAGTAGGCAGAGTGAACTTGGAACATATAAAATGTTCAACATAAAATGAATTAAACTCATATATATAACCTTTTCAAAGTCAATCTCAAGGGTTATCTCCCTTAGCAAAGACTTTACAATCACCCTCTATAAAGTAATCTTTCTTCCTCCTTCAAGTCCTGGTCTATGATAGCTGGAAGTCTCTTTGATTGCCAATCCTTCTCTCTGGTCATCAGGTTGTACTGAGTATGCTCTCCTCAGCTCCAACACTGAGCCCAGTATCTCTGCACCAGAGATACCACCCAAACCCCGCATCATCTTCGCAGGGATGCAGACCACTCCCACCTACACACATCTGTAATAGTTCTTCCCACTCCTTTGATGGGGTGGTTTTAAAGAGAAATGCTCTCTACAGTCTTAGGTATTAAAAATTTGGTCCCCAGTTGGTGGCACTATTTTGAGAGGTTTAGGTAGTGGATAGAGTCTTGTTAGAGGAAGTAAGTCACCGAGACCAGGCTTTAAGATTAAAAACTTCCTATCACTTTTTAATTTTTTCTCTCTTCGTCCTGGTTGCCATGGAAGGTGTGAGTTCTCAGTTTCTGGCCGCTATGGCTGCCCTGCACTGTCACATCTCCCCACTATGTTGGAATCTTATCCCTCTGAACTATAAGTCAAAATAAACTCTTCTACAAGTTGTCTTCTTCGTGGTGCTTTTATCACAGCAACAGAAAAGTACTAACACAAACCACAACTCCCATTACCTCCCTCAGTCCAGCATATCCCTTTAGCCCCCACCATTTGCTTTGTAGCCCCAAAGAAAAATATCACACACCTCAAATTTCCCTGTATTTCTCCAGTTCCTCCCTGCTACTCTTTTGGAATTACATCATGGAGGCTGTCAATTTGAACTCTACTCATAGTCACTCCCCGGACGATGGATCTCATCCTGACTCTTGACTTACCAGCCATCCACATGCTGAGGACTCTTCAAATCAAAATTGTCAGGATGTACCTCTCCCTTAAACACCACACTTGCATATTTATATGCAACTAACTCAGTAGCTCTATATAAACACCAGATTAGTAGCTCAAACTTAACATATTAAAGAACAAACAAACAAAAAACAAAATCCCCATCTATGCACCCCATCTCAGCAAATGCCAGTATTCCTTACAGTTACTCAGATGAAAACCTGTAGCCATAGTGCACCCCCTTCTTTCTCTAAGTTCTCACTCACAGTGATGAATCTACCTTTAAATTAGACACCAAGTATAGTAACAACACATTCCTGCACTATTCTAGCTAACCCCAAATCATCATTACCTTCCACCTTGATTGCTACAATGACCCAAGCCATCACTTAAATTCATAATTTAGCAGGCAGAGAGACGTCAAGCAGGTGATTCAGCTCAAGGATGTAAATGCCTCTCTACTGTTGCTGATAGAAAAGTTTGAGTCTCTAAACTGTCTTACAAGTACAGCCTTGATTCATCCCTTCCTAACCTACACTAACATCCCATCCCTGCCTCCTGTGGTCCCCAAACCTGCTGGCTAACCCAACTGTATCACCACTACTGACACTTATAAGTCATTCTTTATATATATATCTTATATATATATATATTATTTTTAAATTTAAATTTAAATTAGAAACAAGGTTGCTTCACATGTCAATTCCAGGTCCAGTCCCTCTCCATTTCCCTCTCCTCCTCCCGTGCCTTCCCACCAACCCCCCAAATATCACCTCATTAACCCAGGGAGGGTGAGGTCCTCCATAGGGGTGTCCATAGTCTGTCATTTCATCCAGGGCAGGGCCTAGACCCTCCCCCAAGACTTCAGGGTGAGAGTGCATCTCTCATTGTTGGATGTGAGTCTGAAGTCCATTTGCATACCCGGAATAAATACTGATCTACTACCCAAGGCTCAATAGATTACCTAGGCCTCCTCACTGACACCAGTATTCAAGGGGTCTTGATCAGTCCCATGCTGTATTCTCAGGCATCACTCTGGGATTCAAGAGCTAACCATTGTCAGGTCAGCTGTTGCTGGGGGTTAAACCAGCCCAGTCTTTATCCCTTCGGTCATCCAGCCTTCCTCTCTGTCACTGGATTACTTGAGTTCAGCTCAGTGCTTAGCCATGGGAGTCTGCCTCTGCTTCCATCAGCCACTGAATGAAGGTTCTGTTTCCCAGACTCTCTGGCCATGGGATTGTAGGCTGGCACTCCCCAGATCTATGTCTAAAATCCATATATGAGGGAGTACATGCCATGTTTCTCTTTTTGTGACTGGGTTACTTCACTCAGGATGGTTTCTTCTAGTGCCATCCATTTGCCTGCAAATCTCAGGATTCCATTGTTTTTTTGTTTTATTTTGTTTTGTTTTTCCGCTGAGTAGTACTCCATTGTATAGATGTACCACATTTTCTCTACCCACTCTTCAGTTGAGGGGCATCTAGGTTGCTTCCAAGTTCTGGCTATTACAAATAATGCTGCTATGAACATAGTGGAACCGACATCCTTGTTGTAAGAATGGGCATCTTTTGGATATATGCCTAAGAGTGGAGTTGCTGGGTCTTGTGGTAGGTTTATTCCCATTTTTCTGAGGAATCTCCATACTGATTTCCAAAGTGGCTGAACAAGTTGGCACTCCCACCAACAGTGGAGGAGTGTTCCCTTTTCACCACATCCTCTCCAGCATAAATTGTCATTGGAGTTTTTGATTTTAGCCATTCTGACAGGAGTGAGATGGTATCTCAGAGTTGTTTTGATTTGCATTTCCCGGATGGCTAAGGATGTTGAGCACTTTCTCAAGTGCCTCTCAGCCATTTTAGACTCCTCTATTGAAAATTCTCTATTTAGTTCTGTAGCCCACTTTTTAATTGGATCCTTTGGTGTTTTGGAGACTTGCTTTTTGAGTACTTTGTAAATTTTGGAGACCAGCCATTCTTAACCACTGGTGGATACCTGGCAGTGGCAGTGTCCCTTGCCTCTGTTCTCTAATGCAGATAATATCCTTCATCTCCACAAGGTATTGGCAACCAAAAACACCTCTGGACATTGCCATGTGTCCCCTGGTGTACACAAACAGCCTGTGTTGAGATGCATTCTCATATGTGTGTGTGTGTGTGTGTGTGTGTGTGTGTGTGTGTGTGTGTGTGTGTGTATACCATGCCTCATCACCTCCTTCATTTCTTAGTTCAAAATTCCTCACTCCATCCCACTACAAAACATCAAGGACCAATCTTTCCCAGGTTTACTTGTTTCCCTCTTTAGCAGTTCTGCAACTCACACTTGCCAAGGGACTTACAAGTGGGTGAGCATAAGAAGTAAGGGCAGTATGTCATATGGACTTAGAACAGCCCCTAGAGAAGAAACCAACGAGATTATGTCTTCACTCCATGCCCAGCTGGTCCAAAATTAAATTCAAGGCTCTGGAGTTCAAGGTAGGAAGCGGACAGATTCTAAAAAATTTAGTGTGAAAGTTTCAGATGAAACTTAACTGGTTGAATCTGAACTAAAACATACCCGAGTGTGTGACAATGTTGTAGATGTGATGGATGGGTACCAGATTCTAGCTACTGACCAGGTTTTCTAGGCAGAGATACTCCTTGTGAATGTCTCCCCCATACCTACTTACCATTAAGACACATTTCTCTATTTCAGAGTTGAGACCTTTTACTTTTGGGAAGAATCTATGTACTATGGTGTTATTTAATCGGGCAAACAACATACCACCTAGAATTCTCTAAACAAAAGATTCTGAACCTCCCAAGCTAGTATCAAATCAAAACTCAAATCTTGACCTTAAAGGACTTCCTGATAAGTTCAGGGATGGGGCATGAAGAGTGGGGAATCCCTTGGAACTTCCTTTTCTATATGTTTAGGTTTCAAATGCATACTTGGAAACCTGAAGCCACATAAGAGGGCGAAAAAAATGAAGGGACCCAAGAACAGTTATAAAAGAAGACATTAAAATCGCTTGGAAGAAAGCAATTTAGTTTAACAACCGTTAAATAAATATGTAGAGAAATGACCAGTGCGTAAGTTAGATTCTAGAAAAGGAAATGAAGGATATCACTGTTCTTCAATTATTCCCCCTATCAACTAAGCTCTCATTCCACAGTTGGGGACCTCAGGCTTTGGTGTCGAAAGATTCAGTAACCCTGATTTATGATGCCAAAGCTCTTGCAAATCATGGCTAAAATGAGCGTTCTACATAGAATGAGCCCTACTTCTGCCTCTCATGGTAAGATACACGCCTCTCCTCCTGATGATGGAATTCCAACAGAAATGAGACGCATGGATGCATGTAATTTCATATATATATATATATATATATATATATATATATATATATATATATATATATATATATTGTTTTCGTCCTACAAAAACCATGGACAAGAACCCCCACCACCAGAAAAAAAAAAGAAGAAAGAAAGGAAGGAAAGGGGATATTTTAAATCATAACAGTTTTGAATTAACCGAGAAAAATCATTTTGGATTACATCCAAGTTCACTCTAATGTTCTTTATAAAAAAATTAAGAAAAGAAAATCATTTTCTCTTTCTACCTTGAAGTTAAGTTTTATAGACTTTGGAAAGCAATGGAAATTCACAACTTTGAAGCTATTAGGTCAAAAGCATTACTTGTCCCCAGTCATCATCCCAACATACACACACACTCCCTCTCTCTCTCTCTCTCTCTCTCTCTCTCTCTCTCTCTCTCTCTCTCTCTCTCTCTCTCTCTCTCTCTCATGCATATATATTTGGCATGGGCAAGACTTGCACCCAGAAAAGCTTCCCATGCTGGAGAATGGGGTAGATGAATTTTTGATTAATGCTGCCCTAAAGCTCCATGAC